CCATCCTTGTAGAAGTGAAAGTCTTATCATCAGAGTATTAACCCAAGTGGCATATAAATGTTAATCGTGTAAAGATACAAATGGTTGCACAAGACAAAGAAATTATCAGGACAAAGCAGCAACTGGAGCACACCGAGTTCATTTCTAGCATAGCTAAGATAAGTTAACCATCCTTGTAGAAGTGAAAGTCTTATCAACAGAGTATTAACCCAAGTGGCATAGCAATGTTAATCGTGTAAAGATACAAATGGTTGCACAAGACAAAGAAATTATCAGGACAAAGCAGCAACTGGAGCACACCGAGTTCATTTCTTGGCAGAGCTAAGATAAGCCAGCCATCCTTGTAGAAGTGAAAGTCTTATCATCAGAGTATTAACCCAAGTGGCATATAAATGTTAATCGTGTAAAGATACAAAGAGCTGCAAAAGACAAAGCGGTAACAAGGATGATAGAGAAATGGAGAGAAGCGTCTTGGGTTTGAATGAACTCATCAAACGATCTTGATAAATTACTTGATCAAAACTTCGTATGTGCAAGAAACTGTTAAGGTTTAAAATGTTGTAATGTCCCATACTGTAGAATATGGACTGATATGTGGTCATCTATACATACATTAGTTTTGAAAACAAATACTGTTACATTTTCTCAATATTCAAGGGCACATGGTCATTTAACAATTATTACAGCATAAAAAATATTATAATTTAAATAAGACTTATTTAAATTTTAAATACAATATCTTCAAGTACAAATATCATATATGAACCTCTATATATTATCTATCAGCACAATTAACTTAAAAGACAGGAAATATCCCAGTTTGGTAGTGTTTGATTAAAGTTATTTTTTTTGTCTTTAATTGACTGCTCCTGCCTGTTCCTAAAGTGAGATGGCACATTGGCTTCTATACCAAGGCCCTTTTCAGAATACAACGTACTCTAGAAACAGGTAGATGCAATCCATTAAAAGCTCTACTATTTATACACTGCTTAAAATTCCCTTGAAAATATAATTATTATTGTTATATCAATTCCTTATTTTTAAATGTAATATATTTTGCGGATAAAAGCCACTATAAATAATTTACTCATTAAATATTTAAATACGAAACTTCAAAACATTAAGCTGCTTTAAATATATTTTTCATGACTTGAAATACTAAACTCTTTGAGGTTTGAACTGCTTTAAAACATTGTTAAGAAAAAAAGACAATGTTCAGAAACAACCTAACAACTTATTTTTAAACTAGACATACCTTGCCAATTTTACAAATCTCACGATATAATTTAAGAGTAATATATTTTATTTCTAGTGTTCATATTTGAACTACATAATATTTAGAAAATAACTCTTCATAAAATTTAATCTTTTCCTCTGAAAGTACCTTTACATAAAGAAAAAAAATGGATAAACTTAAATCTCGTGGACACACCATTTTCTCGAAATTGGTGTGAAAAACTATAGTCTATCAGGACTTTTCAGGAAGCCCACAAATACTGGAAGATACCACAACTATAAATCAAACTTTGCCTGCAGCATAAAGAGTGGACATCAGACTACTTGTTTTTCAGAATGAACAAGATTTTTTAATAAGAAAGATGATAAGGAGGAAGAAAAACTCATTGCTAAAACCTTCCTTAACAATGAATACCCTGAACATTTGATTAATAAGAAAATAAGAGAAAAACTAGGAATAAGCAGAAAATAAAATTACAGACACACAGACACATTCTGCTGTGTCAGAAGTCTCTCTAAGAACATACAAAGGATATATACATAGTATAACCCCATAATAGTATTCAGAAGTTATAACATAATAGGACTGTAGTTAGCACACACAAAACCAGCTAAAGATCCCATTAAGAACAACAAAAAACCATTTACAACATACCTTGTGACTGTGGGCTCCAATACTTGAGATACAACAATATTAACAAAAGTTAGAGTTCAGAAATATAGTAGAAATATCAGAGTTTATAGCACTAAACTAACTGTAATAACACATGTCAGAGAAAATTGTACAAATAAAATGAAATTGAAACTAACTGAATATGAATCACACAGGAGAAAGATAAAAGAAGCCTAACTGATAACACTCAACCTAATACAAAAGTCAGTCAAACTCAGATATGTAGCACCCTCGTGAACTTTCAAATAATTAGCTGATTGATGTTCTAATGGAGATCAAGGACAAGTAAATAGCTCAAGAACCTTTCTATTAAGACCAAGGACCACATTTTGGCCATTATGCTCCTTCTCAGAATCTCTTTGAAGACAACACCATATTAAAAGCCAAAACAAGGGTGTGAATCACTGACAGTTTGTAAGATGAAAAGGGGGCAAGGAGTGAGCTTTAAATTGGAATTTGGGACTGACATGCATTTTTAAAAAAAGAAGTGTAATTTGTTTTAGAATTTGCAGGTTTGATGAGAAATCGAAAGCTAGAGAAGAGGTGACAGATAAATAAAAAAATGTGGAAAATAGCAGCAGGATTTAAAGAAACTTAAGCTTTTACATGCAAGGAACAACGTAGCTAATAATGACTTTCAGGAAGTTAAGGTTACAAGTATTAGATTGAATTGTAATGAGGAGGTTAAGATTTAAATCTTTAGCTTGTTCAGATGAGGAACTAAGTGAGGGAAAGAAAACAAAAAGGACTGATATGCTGAAAATAAAAAACTTAAGAAGGTTATACTTGTAGATGACACTTTGGCACAGCATGGGGATAGGACAGTCCATGGGGTAAACAAGTAGAAAAGACATGATCAGATTCAGTGTCTATGTGTCACGTAATTCTTCCTAAACCGCTGGTTGCAACAACTTCTAAGTGGTACCAAATGAATCGTCTCAGCTCCAAGGTTTGCACAAAGGTAAAATTTTCACCTTCGGAAACTTGAATATTTTGTGAAAAACATTATTACAGGGATTCCCTGAAAGCAGACACCAAATTTGGCATTGATTTACATTCGAGCACATAAGTAAGTAGAACTACTAATTACTGTTTATAACTTGATTAAAGAAACCAAATTCGCATCATAGTGGCAATGATCATTAAACTGACAAATTGCAAAATAGTAGTTTAAGCATTAAATTTGCATTATAGTGGCCTTCTAAATAAATGTGAGCCATAGGTCCATGGGTTTGCTAGTTAGATTAAACTATCCAGGTTCAGAAATGGAGAAATAACTGACAAGGGAAGTGATATAGTAAAGTGTACTAAAAGTGGTGCCATCTTTGTTGTGCACATATAGGTTAAAGATGTAAGGAAGGGCATGTCAGAGGAGCTAATTGATAAGTAGAGCAGGTTGATAAAGGCATTTAAAGAAAAGAGGCATAATAACCTGATTCTATCAGGCATAATGTTGAGAAATAATTGTGGGGATGAGATTATAAGTAGGTCACTAGAGCCGAATACTAGGCTTAGCTTAATATGTAAGAACAAGCAGGTTGGTTGATTGGATTTGTGGGATCAGTTTAATGGAAACGGTGGCTTTTTGGAACGGATGATTTACATTTAAATTGGAAATAGGGAAGTTTTAAACTATGACTAGTCAGTAGTGAGAGCCAGGATAAACTAAATACAAAAAATAAGGTGTAGAGAAATGTTTAGCAAACGAAATGACTATAGAAGAGTTCTAAAGATAGGCTTAATTGTTACTATTGTAATGCTAGAAGTATAAGAAATAAAATAGATGACTTTAGAGTACTGGTAGGAATAGTGTGTTTTGATATAATGGGAATAACTGAAACATGGTTATATGTAGATGATCTTGATGACAGAAATGTCTTTGAAATACAGGGTTATAGGTTATTTAATAGGGATAGAGTACTAAAGAGAGGGGAGGAGTGACTATATGTAAAAAAGAAAGAGAAAAAAATTATATACTATAAATTGTGCGATCAAATTAATTTGGGATAGTGATCAAATTCAAAAAAAAAATTTAATTCTTGATTATTCAAGATAAGCACCTTTCTTGTAAAATAAAGGAGAGTGGCTGCAAGTAAAAAAAAAACCTGGACCAGATAAAATTTATCCAAGGGTTTGGAAGGAAGTTAATGAAAGTTATTTATATGCTGTTTGTCTGCTATGATTTCTTGGATTGGGTGCTTCTTCAACTAATGAAAGACTGTAGGTTAATCATTAAAAGACTTCTACCTACCCTTGAAAAATCCTTAATAGAAAAAGGGTTAAAATTTTATTGCCCACAGGAAATACTTGCTAGAGGGCATCTGAAATTTAAAAATTGCTCTTTCCATAAAAAAACAGGAATATTCTTTTTAAAGAACAGTATTATGGTATAAAGATGTCCATTATTATAGCAACAGATAAATTTCTCAGTCTAGGCAGAGTAAAAAAGTAAAAAAAAAAACTCTCAGAAATCTTAACCCTTACCCAGGATCAATTGTCCCCAGACTTCTGGAACTTTTAATACTAATACTTCAGAAACTGTGTGTATCATGAGGAAATGTGTATTTATTCAATAAATCTCATTAAAAGTTACTTGGTGTTTTCCATTCTTTAAAGAAATTACAAGAACTTAAAAGATGTAGTACATTTTTATCTAAACATGAATTATTTCACTTTTAAAATAGATGAGCAGAAAATGTTTAGAGGCAAGTTTACAAACAATTACTTTATTAAAATATTCACTAGGTGAAACATCAACAAGCAGTTTGCTTTGCATAGCATTCTTTTGTCTCAACATTGATATACAAAAACACATTTTATATTACCTGGTCGTTCTTTAAATTAATTTTTAAGTTTTAAAGTACGATAATCAATGTCAAGAACAAACCCTAAAATGTTCGTTTATACTTTTTTTTCTCTGTAAATATTAACAACACAAGTCATACAGAGTAAAAGACAGTTATCTTCAACTTGTAAAGCACAAGATTCACAGTCTTTCATTTCTGAACTATAAAATATAAACCAAAAGCAATAGCCAGCTGCTGCTTTCATTTCTACTTTTAACACGAGCTTATTTAAAATATTTCCTTTCACACAAACCCTTACAATCACCTTTTATGAATGAGAGATAGTTTAAAATATTTTCAAACCTGGATTTGTAAGCAATTCTGAAGGGGGTGGGGGTAAATCACCATACTTTTTGGATTAACTATCTGTCACTAAGGTCAGTATAGGGATATTTCACCAACCCCATTCTTAACCCTAGACAGGAGTAATTCAAAGAACAAGACAGATCAGGCATGGTCATTTTCCTTTTGCCGTTGTCCAGGATTACTGATGAGGGTGTGGATTTCCCTGAAACTGGTCTAACTGAATGATAAGTGGTAAACACATGAATACGTTGGGCATCAGATTTCTTTCTTGCCAAAATTCACAATTTTGATGATATGTAGAGAAAAAAATGACATCATCTTAAAACAACCTGTCCACTAAAGTGTTTAAATGAATAAATTTATAGCACTAATGTTATTTATTCTTCAAATAACTATATAAATATAGATAACCTGTGATGGGTAAACGACAACTCAAACACAATAAACAACTTGAAAATCATTTACTTGTGTTATACTGATATCTTTGGTTTTAATTCTAGACTGAAAAGTTGATGTTCATTAAATGTTCATGTATAATATTCAAACAATATGACACAATTTCGCATATATATATATGTTCTCAGAGACTAAATAAAGGTCGAGGAAAAATGAGATTTTTACAGATTCAGTGAGATTCAAAATTATGAAAAAGTTAGACAACTTTAATATATTTATATTACATGATCTACAAGGTACTTGGCAGAAGAAAATCAAGGAATAAAAGCTAAACATATAACTTTACAGCTGTAAAAAAAAAAGAAGTTTCACGAGTAAGAATTAATTTCAACTTTTGAGTGAGCTTTGGTGAACAGTGAAATCAAATATAATTCACATCATCCCATCTGATAACTTGGTTTGTCCTCTATTTCAATCACTAACTGGATTTCCTATACTAAAACACTTCTAAGTAGTGAAAACTGTGTCGAAATAACAGGCATAAGAATATCGCCCGTTATTCTGACACAATAGTTTAAAAGCACATGTTCATTTCTAAAACACGTATTTGAAAAACATTTAAAGACTTTATGGGTGTATAAAGTGAAGGAAGGAAAAATCTAAATAATTTTACAAAGTCAAATGTCTGTTTTTGAGGTCATGGTAAAAGTTCAAGAAAACTAAACTATGTGACTGCCAAAGTCTTCAGTGCTTTAGAAAATGACCATTTTTATGGTTTATAACAAAGAGGCGAATGAAGAATGAACCATGAACCATTACTTACTAATAGGTATGATATTACATTATTATATTCCTGACAATAAACTTAATGAAATCCTTCTTTACTGACAATGAGTAATTCATAGAACAAGATCAGGCATAGCTGTTTTTTTCTTTTGCCTTTGTCCAGGGTTACTGACAAGAGGTGAAATTCCTGTCTAGACTTATTCTTCAATTTGTCTTTGTTCACAGATTTTCTTTATTGGCCAGTAAAAAAGGATGTTATTAACAATATTACCAGTCTTATTATGATACAATATTAATTTTGTTACCAACTAAATACTACTACTAGAGTTTATTAGCACCCATATCCATTACTACATAATACTGATGTTTAAAAGAACTAAGAGTTTTCTTCTTTCCTTTGTCTAGTGGGTAAGCTAAACTAGGTTATTAAATGTAAAGGCAATGGGATACAAAAGAAATGATAATATCTAGAGGCATGAAATAACTTCACGTATCTACAAGTCTACAGAACAACATTTTCGTCCTATAACTAGAAATAAAGACAATGAGTTGAGCAAGCTACTTTACCAGTCAGATCTGAAACACATTTTTTTTTTTGAAGTGGCTGCATCACCACATGGCACTGCATGAATGTGGGTAAATGTTCAACACAAAATCCTAAATAATTTAAATTCATCAACTGAGCAGCTGCTTCATATAATCACAGATATACAACCGACAAAGATGAATTTCCCAATCGTAAATACGTTAGTGGTCGCCTCGAAGAAGTGCCATCAGAAGATGAAAACTAGGAATCTCTCCTCCTTTCTGTTTGCTAGACAGAGACTCTTTCCCAACCTGACAAGCTCGCTCCAGTTCTGGAATTCGAAGCAAAAGTTCTCCAAACTTGCTAGGGTTTTCTGGATAGTGCACCCGGGTGTAAGTTTGTAGAGCTTCAAGAACTTGTTTCTGACATATGCGAACCTTCTCTATCTCCTTTAGTCCACTGACATCTGATTTAAGAGTGAGTAAATTATACAACTTAATAACCTGAGATATGTTGATGATATTAAATAAGATTAAAGTATAAGAAATAAATTGAAAGAGTCATTATTTGTTTAAATTTATTACATTTTGGTGATATTTACTTCCTGCTTTATTTCACATATGAATGTCACATTGCAACATGAACATAATCTTGGTACATATGGTAATGTTACTCTGTCAAGAACATGACCAAAGCTAATGCAAAAGAACAACATTAGAGAAGAGGGCCTGAATGATACTCCTTAGTGACTAATAAAGAAAATGTTAAAAACTGTTTACAACTTATATTACAGATAATCAAAATACAGTAATACCCCATTTAGTGCTCAGGAAGGATTATTGAGAACAGAGCTCTAAATGATTCAGCTCTAAACTGGGTCATTTTAACATTACATATATGGAGATATGAAACTGAAGGCACTGTTTCTTACCTGTGAATGATGTACAAGTGTTTTATTTATGTACTGGTAAATTTAACGTACATTACTCACTATAAAATCGTCATCGCTGGAAAAAAGCAAATTTTTTTTATGAGCCTTTAATCTTGTTTGGTTACAGTGCCATCAAATAGAAAATCAGACCCCTCCTGCCATGCCCACCTGTCACATCCTCTCTTTCAGGATTTGTCAATACACGTAGTTCTATAAGTGTCTTACGTTTACGACTATATTAGTTATAACAAATAGACAGGCATGGTTTTCGTCTATCAAGTGACGTATTATATTACATTGTTTTCTGTACAGATTTGTAAATCGCTTCCCAACAAAATGTATTTTTACCACAGGAATGATATTGTGTAGATGGATGACGTTTTAATGATTCATATTGCGTCGCTAGAAATGGCAGAAAAATTGTGATAGTTACGGAACATTGTCTGCTTTTTGCATGTTATTATTCTGTTCTTTGTTTCATTATTTTTATTAAATATAAATTAGTTCGTACACTACTA